GAGCGGCATACGGGGCGAGGGGAGAGTGAGCTATGATCTCTCTGTCGATTTCGTCGTCGAGGTGGAGGATGACGCTGGGCTAATGTGAGCAAGGCTGGTATGTACCGGTTCAGGGAGAATGTGATAGTATGAAAGACGTTCTTCGACTGTCGCGAGTCGCTCCGATGTCAAGTACTCCTTGACGGAGAAGTGAGAGAATTGTACAATGATGACGATGAGACTCAAACATACGGACATAATCGTTTCTTCTGCGTATGCTGGACGCTGATGTGTGAATCGGATTGATTGTTCTGCAACTATCTACAAGATGCCTGCTTTATAGGCCGCTCGGTCGACACACGAGCCCCCGACTTCTCCTTTGGGGGCGCGCTGCCCGCCCTATCATGCTTTCGGGACCTCCTTTCTTCCTTTCGTGATCGCGCGGGCCTGACGTATTGCCACCTGTAGCCAAGTGCTTTGCATCTCTCTGTCGAGCTCGTCCTACCACCAACCGATCGCCCGACGGCCTCGGTCGGCCTCCTATAGGATCTCTGCAGTGGAATAATGATCAAACGCATGATCCGGTCTTCGGTTCGATCGGACCGAATCAGTGATCCGTGCCTCGGACATCCGATCGGAGTGATGAGTGTGATTGATCCGGGGACCTCATTCCGCTTGTAGTTATAGGCCGATCGCCCGCGGATCTTCGGACGTCCAGACGGCGACCCTAGCGCTCCTGGGAGTCTGCCCATCCTAGTTCGGGCATTCGGGCTCTTCGGGCTATTCGAGTGCTTTCCGCTATTGGTTTGGAGTTGATGGTGTATCGTGGGTTGTGGTGATTGGCCTAGCCTCGTATCCGATGGTCCAACGGCCTTTGGAGTCATGCCCGACACTCGTGGTCGCTGACATTATCCTCTATCGCTGCCATCGGGCCCGATGCGTTGCTGTTTCTGGTCCTATAGGGCCGATATTGCCTCCTATAGGCCCGATCCTTCGATGGTTTTGGCCCGATATCTCCCGCACTACCACGCACCTCGCTCATCAACGCCAATCTGTGTTAAATATGGGGAGCGCTTCCTCGTCGAACTGAATTGCAAGAATCTCCGCGAGTTCTTCGACACGAAGAGGGCGAATAGACACCATGAGACTAACAGAAAGAAAGATAAGGAAAGGAAGGGTTAGCAGTCTGTCAGCAGAACATTGATCAGGGAGGCGCACCATTACACTTTCATTGCTGTAATTGGCACGCTCAGGCCACCTAAGATGTTCCGACGATGCATGCGCTAGAGGCGCCACCGGTATCACCGTCTGTTACCAAGGCATCGCAACGCTGACTGGGATTGTGAGGTGTGACATGTGTGCTGTTGCTGCAACTACTGCTGCCGTTGCTACTGTTACCGCTCTCGCTGTTGCTGGTGCTACTGCTGTCGCTGCTGCTGCTGTTGTCGCCGTTGCTGTCGCTTCAGTTGCCGCTGCCACTGCCGATGGTGCATGGTGATGGTGAAGAGGGGGTCGTCTCGGAACAGACATGGAGAGTGGATAAGATAGGGGCTAGTATTTTCATGCATCCATGGGCAATTGGGAAGCCACGGTTGTCTCGGCCCGAGCTGTCCGAGTGTGACAAACGAGCAAAAAAGAAAGTGACCACAGCGGGATTTGAACCCAGGCCCGCCCCATTCCCCCAAATATTTGCCAAGTACTCTAACCACTGAGCTACCGGGCCTTGGATCCGACCAATTTCGAGTGCACTTATATCCTGATGTCTGATGTACATGACAGATTACACATAATCTATCACGTTTCACTTCTACTAGTTTTACTACTCATACGCTAAACTACGACTCTGCCACTTAGCACCCGTTATGGCCCTTTTCTGCTACATCCACCCCTTCCTGCGCCCTTTCTGCGATCTCCAGCAACTGCTCCTGCTGGCTTGCCGTCGGTGCAGATGGTAGGAATATTGGCAACGCCTCCGCAACAGCCTATATATGCAAGGTCAGCCAGACACCATGCAAACAATATACGGTCGCATTAGGAGAGCCCGGTGCAGTATTACGCAGACATTGCGCACTGGTCTGAATCGAGCACGGTGCAATCCGCATGCGGCGTTGAGCCAGGCACTGTTTAGGACGTCACTGTGATCGTACGTTTCCTAACTTTCCTTCCCACCTTCCCTCTCCCTCTAACCAACCCTGGCTTCTCGTCTACGACGGGAGTGCAGATCGCCATGACCCGATTTAATCAGGTCGTTGTTGATAAGACAGCCAGTCTCGTCGAGGTCAGCGCGGGACTGGGCAATCCACCTGCCTGCGTCGACGTGCGTGCGTCCTCCTTGACCTCCTTTAACTTCCATTGACAGGTTTGCCCTGGTTCCCACACCCCCATCATCGTGGGCGCACTCTCCTCGCGCCTGCTGTCTGCTCGCGTTCTCCATCAAGCAGCTCTGCAACTCTGCCGCGCCCGCACCGCAAATGACCGTATCACCATCTGCCCAGACCTAGTGACGTTGTTGAGCTCCCACAAGGTCCGAGCGTACAAGGCTGCCAGGGACAAGCTCGCAAGGCCACCGTGTCGCACACGAGCAACACCAGGTCTCGGCGTACAAGGCTGCCAGGGACAAGCTCGCAAGGCCACTGTGTCGCACACGAGCAACGCAAGGTGTACGAGGAGCCGAGCATGAGCATGTTCCCCATGTCGTTGATGCGCGCTTGTGCACGTGGACGTCATGCTTGGGATGCTCTTTGGCATGGAGTATCTATGCGCTATCGCGACACCGCCAAAGTTCCGATCTCCTGGCTTGCACCTCGAACTCTTGCGTGACCCGTCCTTCAAAACGCGCATACATTTCTACCTATGGCCTTTCCTCATTCTTGCACATGTGTCTCTCCAGAGTCCAGACATTTCTCGATTTCAATGCTGTATACATCCTGATCGAGTGAGTCGTCTCGTGCTCGTGCTCGTGCTCGTGCCGCTGTTGTATTTTGCTGAACCAACTTTATCTCCGTCGTAGAGCTGCAAAGTTCCCTAATCCGGACTCACCCGGAGCAACTCGTAACTAGGTCCTGGGCGCCCGGGCCGTTGCATACATCGCGTGCTGGATCCTCTGGATATTCGGCATCTTTCTTGGCTATGAGGTCCTTTACTCATATTATCGTCGCTGGCACTCTCGTGAGTAATGAAGATTCTGACGCTATATAAGCGACTTATCACCCCTCCGTCACGGTCGTTCGCTTCCTGGTCGTCCCCTTATCCTTCCGATCTACACGTCTTCCCCGGCCTTTACTAATAACTTTGTCGCCATGTCATCCTATGACCACTTCTGCTTTCTCCAGCACATTCGTTCCTCGGGATTTCCATACGTCGACTTGAGGGTGGTCCTTCCTTCGGCAGAGGGCTCGCAGAGACGTGCTATTTTTATGCGCAAAACCTTCCGACTATCGTGACGCTCCTACCGTGCGCAGGCCCGGCCCTCGCGCTATTGCTCTCGTTCTTCACTCCTGAGAATTTCCCTGGAGGGTTATCACTCTCAGACGTTGATCAGAGTATCGGGGGCCGCGATGGGACGTTCTTTGACAAGAACACGGGAGCTCCGTCAGCTTATGCTGAAGGTGTTTTGACTGCAAATGGCGTCTGGGCGGCCTGGAGGACTCTCCTCCTCTTGCTCAGCTGGTGCATAGCTCTCTGCTTACTTGTGATTTGCTTATTCTAAGTAACAATATAAAATGTTCGTTCTCTCGATATTCAACTGGTATGGCTATCCGGTGCTCTGTGAGCCACGCTCTCGCTGCGAGGAGGAATTTGGTCGGGCGACTTCGATCCGAAGCGAAAAGACGGAATCGGGCATGGCCGTAGCTATGATTGCCAGCAGCGCCGATGAACTTCCACGGGGCTGGAAACAATGCACTTTCCTGCTTGTCTATGAGGTGTACGAGTTTTGTCTCATGCTTTGCGCACCGCGGTGACGAGTCGTCCGTCCGTCCGTCCGAAGGTGGATTCGAAGGTATTGAGAAGCTCTTGGCCGCAGTCGGGCTCGGCGGTGCTGCACAACCGACTCCAGCTCGCAGGGGCATGATGTCGCGAGACCTGTTTGAGAGCCCGAATGGCGCTCAGTCGTGCAGGATTGGTACGGCAAATGGACAGAAATGCATAACCCCACCGCCTGAGGCGCTTGTTCACGAGAAGTCGATGGCAGAGGGTGATAAGAACGCATCGGTCAAGGAGCTCCCGTATCCGTTCCCTGCCTTTGGTCCACGAGACAGCAACAAGCAACAGCAGATCCCGTTCCCGCCTTTTTCCGTCGTACCGGAAGAGTGTCCATGCCCCGATGACGATGAGGAAGACGTAGAAATAGAGGGAGATATTGTTGTAGAGGTCTAGGGCGAGGGAGAAGAGGAGGAGAAAGATCTCAATCCCCGGTCCAGCGAGGAGCCATCATCATTCTCCGGCCGTGCATCCAACTCGCTTCCAAGCTTGGCCAGTCTATTCACAGCCGCGACCATTCGCGTTTCGTCACCCGGCCCGAAGGGGCAGCATGTCATCCACGGGCTCGTCTCCCTTCGCATTCTCGCGTGCAACCGCGACGCCACAAAGCAAGGGCACACCTACGCGTGAATCGCACGAGACGCGTAGCACAGGCAATGTGGACACAACGACCGCTTCATCATCACCTTCGATGGTTCCCCCATTCCGGCTGACTCCCCTCTTCGTCCGTGCCAAGCCCACAAGATGTACACGGCAAGCCCATGCCCCCACGCCATCCAGCTACTGGAGATGGCCACCAATGCCCTTCGGCAGCGTCAAATCCTATGCCAGCGGGCGGTCTTACGGCCTCGAGGCCAAGACAAACTTTCGAGGGGTACCGTCAGCTGCGTCACAGCATCGGCTCGGAAGTCTTACAAGAATCTGATCGCGACTCGCGAGGACGACCTGGCATCTCGCTCAGGACAGCCTTCGCTTGATGGATCACCCCAGGCGCGCGAACGCGAAGATTCTGTTGGCCTTCTTTCTGCACCTTCATCTCAGCAGAGCCTGGGGAATCGTTACTTGGTTCACGCAACGGCAGTGCGGCAACCCTCGCACGAATCAGCGGCGCTTTCCGATCTCGCCTCGTTCAAAAATACCAGCTCGGGTTCAGCTTCAGGCAGCGGGAGTTTACGACACAATCCCATGTCTCAGTCTCTAGCGCATCACTGGCGCTTGGACGTGCCCGCGCACACAGCCTGATTCAGGGCATCGGCGGCGCATCGCGGTCCAGTATCGAGCTCGTCCTTGGGCGTATGCCACAGCCAAGTTCTCCCCCGGCTACTGGCGCCGTCCGCCTGGGCGACAGTCTGATGTCGATGGGAGTGAGGGAGCGCTGAGCAACCCAGAAAGCCATACGTTCGGCTTGCCCGTCGTTGGTGGTGCCGGCAGCTTGCTGCCGCGGCGCGCTGGGGTGCGTGCACATACGCTTGAGGGCGATCCGGGACGGTCGTCGGTTTCATTATCATCGTCGTCTTCCGCGGCTGCTGCTGCTGCTGCTGTTGCGGTGTGATGTCTTCGCTGCGAGATCAGCTAGAGGGCAGGTGGCGTCACCGGAACCAAGGAGCAGTGGTTCGCGTGCGCGTAGCTCGAATTCTTTATCATCTGAGAGGGAGCGTCAGGGTTCACGACTACAATCTGTTCACTCGTTTGGGTCACAGGGTTCACGACAACAGCAACAGCAACAGCAGGAAGAGGAGACACCGCCATCGCCGTCGATTCTGTCACAGTCCGTGCAGTCGGAAGACACTACGAGCGGGGGTCGACGACAACACGGACGGTGACGCTCGCACAGGCGATGTCAGAAGCATCTTCACGGGTACAGACGCGGGCGCATACTCCAGCCGGAGTACCAATCCCTTCCTCGCCTTCCCGCCACCTCCACAATCTTCTTCACCACATCCGTCAGGGGACTTGAGCACGGCGCCGACATCGTTCGTGACAGCGTCGCCTACGATCGTTAGTCGGACTACGGACTCGGGCGGTGACGGGCGTACGCCGGAGACGTGAGACGAGGAGGGTACTGGTGGTACGGAATTACGCGCCGCCGCACACGCGGGGGTTCATGCATTCATGCCTCTTTGATCTGAACTGAACTGGAACGTGCCTTTTTCATCTCTCGGTGCTGTTTTACTCGCAATTTTTTTTTTTTGGCTTTCCTCTTTCGCAATGCTCCTCGGCCCTAACCTGCACGTATTTAGTTGTTGTTTATATTACTATTAGAGTTCTTTGCTCACGATGACATGCTTTCATCTTTCACGCATTTGCTATCTCCCATTCCCATTACCCTTACCCCCCCTACCTTTACACCGAACTCGACCAACAACTCTAAACCCATATTACTGTTACGTGTACATGAGCTCCGTTACCTTCTACCCACCTCCTCACCCTTACCCTCACCTTCAAGTTTATCCTCTTCACGCTACTCCTCACGTCTTGCAAAGCCCTCTGAGAGCCGCTGTCCTTACTGACAGATTGACGCATTTATAACACGCATTTCTTTCATTTGAACCACGGATGACTCGTGTTCATCCCCTCACCCTCGAATCATGAATAAAATGCGATTTTCTTTTGCTTTCCTTGTTTCGATGAGTGGGATTGACACCGTGGATATACGTCCACACACTCGACATGGGCAAACTCACTAACTGAATCCGAGTTCAATTAGAAGGCCTTACTTCACTTCCTTCACACATGGCCCTC